GAGCGTCTGAAGAAAGAGACAAGGAGCGAGAAAGGCGGTAGATTGTAGCTCTTCTGCGGCCAATATATTAAATAAAATGAAGGAACCGTGGCGATTTATAAATACCCCGACGTTTCCTTTCAGCGGATCTTCTGAAGCGCTGGTTAGACTGCAAGTCTATGGAGTAGTGAGACGGTATGTGCTAGAATGTGTGACTTACGCAAATACCTTTCGTCCCATCTCAATAACATTGACAGCTGAATTGATGACAATTTTCTCTACGATTGTCATCTATTATATGTGTATAAAGCTTAAGAATGGTATAATAGGAGCAGAAAAGCGGCAAGAGGGAGAGTAAAAGCAAGCGAGAGCTGCTAGACCGGGGAGTCACGTGACACACAGGCAGCCAATGGCATGGTATAGTATTGGCCCATTCGTTGTCTATGGACAAATAGACAAAATATAAATGTCGATTCTAAAAAAAACCATAAAAGATATCAAGATGATTTTTGCAGCATTGGTAGCTGAACGTCTCACAAGTTGAATAAAGTTGAAATGGCGCTTCTAGCCCAAGGTATGCCGGAGATATTAAGCTTCCAATTTTGCCCCATTCATTTCCAATGGGGAAATTTCTGTAAAAAAAGCTGAATATCTTAGAAAGTATAAAAGTTATAAAAAAGTTGTAGACAAGTACACATGTCCTTATTGAGATAAACAGTTTGATACCTCAATGGCCCTTCTAGGTGATAGTATCCTGCAGAAATTAGATGCTGAGGAACAGTGGTAGAAACCAGAATAATAATAATAATAATCATAACTAGAAAACTGCATTTTCTGAAGAAAATACGTATGGATGCTGAGTGCTGAAAGATCGCCCCAAAAATGCTGAACACCTGAATGCTTTTGCTAGCAGAAAGTATGCTGAAGTTGGAATTTCCCTATTCACTTTAATGGGGCAAGATTTTCAAAATAAAGCTAAATATTTCAAAAGTATAAGGTTTATAAAAATCCTGAATCAGCATCCATACAATAACTAGAAAATTGCATTTTCTGAAGAAAATGCGTATGGATGCTGAGTGGTAAAAGATCGCCCTGAAAATGCTGAATATTTTGACACCTGAATGGTTTTGCTAGCTGAAAGTATGCTGAAGTAGAAGTTTCCCATTCATTTGAATGGGGCAAGATTTTCAAAATAAAGCAAAATATTTAAAATGTATGAAGTTTAGAAAACTTCTGAATAGTACTATGAATGTCCTTGAAGAGCTGAACATTTTGATAGCTGAAATAGCTGAAAGTTTGCTGAATTAGAATTTTCCCATTCATTTGATTGGGGAAAAAATTTTCAGAATAAAGGTGAATATGTCAAATAGTATAAAATTTACCAAAAAGTTGTATACATCCGTGCATGTCCTGAAAAAGCCGAACATTTTGATACCTGAATTGCGTTTCTAGCTGAAAGTATGCTGAAGTAGTTAAGTGCCAAAAAATGTACGGAAGAATAATATTAATAAAGAAATAATTGGAAGACATAGTATGGATGCTGATTCAGCATCCATACAATAAATATTTGGAAAACATAGTATGGATACTTTATCAGCATCCATACTGTTTTCCAATTATTTATTTCTCTATTATTATTGTATGGATGCTGATTCAGCATCCATACAATAATAAAGAAATAACTGGAAAACATAGTTTGGACTCCGAGCATCCATACAATAATAAAGAAATAACTGGAAAACATAGTTTGCATGCTGAGCATCCATACTATGTTTTCCAATTATTTCTTTATTGTATGGATGCTGACTCAGCATCCATACATTAATAATAAAGATTTGGAAAACAACGCAACACACAGCCATTAAGAAGAAGTGTCATTTCTTCAGAGCATCTGTGGGGCATCCTGAAACGGAAGGTGGAGGTGCGCAAGGTCTCTAACATCCACCAGCTCTGTGACGTCATCATGGAGGAGTGAAAGAGGATTCCAGTGGCAACCTGTGAAGCTCTGGTGAACTCTATGCCCAAGAGGGTTAAGGCAGTGCTGGAAAATAATGGTGGCCACACAAAATATTGACACTTTGGGCCCCATTTGGCCATTATCACTTAGGGGTGTACTCACTTTTGTTGCCAGCAGTTTAGACATTAATGGCTGTGTGTTGCGTTATTTTGAGGGGAGCAAGATTTTCAAAATAAAGCTAAATATTTCAAAAGTAGTAGTAGTGGTAGCTGAAACTCTCACAAGTTGAACAGACTTGAAATGGCGTTTCTAGCACAAGCTATGCTGGAGATATTAAGGTTCAAACTTTGTCCCATTCATTTCCAATGGGGAAATTTTTGTGCAAAAAGCTGAATTTATTAAAAACTATAAATGTTACAGAAAAGAAAAATATAAGCACACATGTCCTGAATAAGCTGAACAGTTTGATACCTCCATGGTTGTTCTAGGTGAAAGAATACGGGACGAGTTAAGTGCCAAAAAACAGTGGTAGAAACCAGAATAATAAAGAACAGGATAACATAGTATGGATACTTGTCAGCATCCATACAATAATAAAGAACTGCATAACATAGTGTGGATGCTTTACAGCATCCACACAATTAGAGGGAAGGCACTCTAAATAAAAGGCAGATAACATCTTGGAGTTTGTCAGACAGCATTTAAAAGACTCTGAGATCATGAGGGAAAAGGTTCCCTGGTCTGATCAAATATAAATTGAACTCTTTAGGCTGAACTCCAAGCCCTGTGCCTGGTACTGCACAGCCACAGGCTAACACCATCCCTACAGTGAAGCATGGTGGTGGCAGCGCCTCACTATGGGGGTGCTCCTCAGCAACAGGGGTAGGGAGAGTGGCTGGGAAGGGTGAGTGCAGCCAAACACAGAGAGGTCCTTGAAAACCTGCTCCAGAGTACATATGACCTGAGTCAACAATCCAAAGCATAGAGCTAAGACAATACTGGAGTGGCGTCAAGACAAGTCTCTCGCTGTCCTTGAGTGGCTAAAGCCCAGACTTCAACTACATAGAACATCTGCAGCAAGACCTGAACATCACAGTTCACAGATGCTTCCCATTCAGTCTGATAGCAAAAAGAATGGGATAGCCTTCCCATATCCAAGTGACCAAAGTGTGGAGTGCGTGGAGACTTATCTAATAAGAATGTAGATTAACTGCTTCCAAACGAGCTTGTCTTAAATTAAGAGTCACAATTTATAAGCTCAAATGAGCATAAAACATTCAAACTACGCTATATTTAACAGCCAGGGCATTTGAGATACACAGCTTATTCCCCCAAAACAATGCAGGTGCTCATACTGAATATAAACACAGAACTCCATCAGTCTTGTCCACTATTAATTCCAATCAAATTGATTTAAACAAGCACATCCTCAAAAATGTTCACAATAATGAGGCAGTCAACGTTTGTGCAATTCTATTATGAATGGAAAGCAAAGAGGAAAAATATGGAGCCGCAGATGGCAGCCAATATGGTCTGTCTGTTCTGCAGCAAAAGTTCAGTTTTATTTCTATCACAATAGTATCAGTCAAGACTGCGTTACCAACAACATGTGAAATACTACAGCAATAGTTTGGAAAACAAGCCCAATACAGTTAACAACAGATTTCTTTGGCAGCAGCCATGTGGGACATTGGATAAAAACTGCTCAAGCTGTAAGGACAGAGACACACCAAACCAACGTGAAAGAACTAGCAGCAGCATAGGCTGATTGTTATGTTGCCTTACGTCACCTTGTCTGGGCCATTTGGCTTGAAAAAGTAGCACTTGAACACACCTCACAAACCACAGCCAACGGCCAACTAGTAGGTAAGTTCTGCACCTGTGTGAGAAAAATAACTCCCCTACCAGCAGGTGGCAGAAAGGGAAAGAAGAAGAACTAGACTGCAAATAAACAAGATGTAAACAAAGCAGCTCTTGTTCCCCACAGCTGCTGTTTATACCTTATTCTAATTGAGAATATGTCTGATAAGAAGTCGCAAACAGCGCTGCCATTCTGTGGCCTTGGTCTTTTGGTTTTGGAAGAAGAAAGGAAGTTGTGGAGATGATAAAGAGAAACTGCGCTAGATGTGTGAAATCATAGGACACTACAGAGACAGGCTTACGGGGCTTCTGTCAATTGCTCTGTTCACATGCACTGATTTGCTAAGCTAAACACCCAATCAGAGTGGTCTCTCTCGCCGATGAGGCCTGCTGCCGATTCAACATGCTGAATCGTCCAGAAGGCCACCGACAGGGTCCGACTAGTACCAATGGTGTGGGACACACCACGAAGGCGAGTGACCGATACCCACAGATGGCCGACCGTCGACTCGATATATTGGCACTTGACTCACACTGAAGAGTTAATGATTTGGCAGAAATTCAGCCCGCTTATACAGTTGGTGAGGGGCAACCAAGGGGTTAAAATCAGGTTTAGTCCAAGCAGAATCATGGCTAATATCCAAGCATCAGCATTTCTCTTGCATCAAGATAAAAAAAAAAAGCACTGTATGCGTATGTGAGTGTAACTGTAGGCCTTTTGTGTGTGCTCACCCTCTGTAGCAGGAAACAGGGTTTTTCCTTCTGTCTTAACCTCAGCTAGTTTGCCGGTCCTCAGCAAAACCTCTGCAAAGTTTTCCGGAGGCACAGCTTTGTAGGACGAATACACATCTTGACTCTACGAGAACGAATAAAGAGACAAAAGAGATAAAGCAATACATAATACTTTGACTGAAGGAACCCCCACCGTAGTGACAGCAGAGCAGAAAATGACACGGGGGAGATGTAATTAGTGTGACTGAGCATCTTAATTGCCAGGAAGTCAGATAAAAGAGAGATGGAGTAAACATAAACTTCAGAGCCAAAGAAAACTTCTCAACACCAAGCCTTTTGATAATTCATTTACATGATTCTTGTACCCCAAGTAATTTCTCGAGTGTCTGAGGGGTTAGTGCTCTTGCTGGCCTCAGAACTATCGCTTCATCACAGAATGATCCCTGTCTGTCTTTACCACTCCTGCTCTATCCATCTTTCTGTCTTATTCCATTTGTCTCTCTTTCTCTCTCAATCAGCCTCTTGCTCCTCCCCACTTCCTTCATTGAAACAGTTCAGGTAAAAACCAATCCCATTGATCAGCCGACTCACAGACAGATGGACATGGGGAGCCATTATTGGTAGACTGATGATGGAAGATGGATGACTGCAGGAGATGGAGCAGAGGAAGGGATTTGGAGAGGCCTATTAAAATGTCATGAGAAGAGATCCATCGGCCTTCTGTTTCCCCTCGCGTCCACTCTTTTAGCTATCCACATGATTTGTGTCTCCGAGTAAAAAGTCCAGTCATCGCCCAAGGCGACCATTTCCGAAACATAAAGGTCAGACTTCGCCTTTTCTTACTTTTGTTCTTTTCTGCTTCCATAACTCCTTCTGTCAACATGCATTTCTGTTTGACTGTTATGGTCTTTACCAAATCTCTCTATCTTTTTTGAGCCATTATACCATTAGTATTAAATTAATGCTTTTTTTTTTGTTAAAAAAAAAAAAAAAAAAAAGTGTTGCAAATTGCTTTTTGCATTAAACGTACTTTGTCTGGAATTCATATTCGTTTTGTCTCAGCACTGTTTTTTAAGTAATTTATGAGTGACAGTAGAAAAAAATGTAATTAGATGCCTTCTCAAGCATTTTTGGCTGGCCTGGCACAGAAAACGAGAAATAAGGACACCAGAAATATAAAAGGAATAAAAAAATAATGAGCCATGAGTTGCAATGGTCTAAAGCCACTCACCGGGTCTACATAGGGATCCTCAATAAGTTCCTGATAAAAGGGGCTACAGCCCTGGCGCTCCAGGGTGGAGTTCTCACATACCCCTTCCTGACTGGTGGCTCCTGCTCCATGACCCTGAGGAGCCATCAAAACATCATTAAACTTTCAGAACATGCCCACAGCCCTGTCATCTCTCTCTGTTCTACAGCTCACATGCCCTCCCCGTTTTTCTCTTTCCTTTAAAACTTGTGACCACGAGCCCCAGCCCCCATCTCCCACTTCACACCCCCAGATCGCTGCAGAGACCAAAGACGCCATCAATCTCCGCTCTGGCGACCACCAAGCCAGTCTAGCCGCCAGCTACTGCCTCGATATTGAAATATTCAACAGGCGGGCCAATTAATTATGCAAGAGATGAGCTCTTGATTGGTTGTTTTTGGATGAAGCCTATAAAGTCTCTGAGCAAGTGTGTGTGAAATATGGGGGCTCAGGCAGACATTCAACTGTGGTTTTCTCTCCCTGTCACTCGCTCTCTCTCTCTCTCTCATACACACACACACACACACACACACACACACACACACACACAATGAGTTTCCATCACTTCAGGGGACATTACACTGACTTACATTCATTCCCTGGAGACTTACCCTAACCTAACCTTAAAACATGTCATCACTCTAGAATGTGATGATTTACATTCTGGGGACTTGCTTTGTGTCCCCATAAGAACGCTGAGTCCCAAGAGTGTGACTTTATGTGCCCACAACATGAATAATACCAGGCCACACACACACACGCAGGAGCTAATGCAGTTCTGTTATTGCTGGCTGCTTAACCACGCCTTTTACAACACATAAACACACATATGTCAAATACGCATTTAAACCCATGAGTTAGTTTGTTAGTTCATTCACTCATTAGGAACTTCACTGCCCCTGGTGCAAAAGACTGTCTTCAGCTTCACCACAGATCACGTACATTAAAAACAAGAGAGTCAGTCATTCTTACATGCAGTGGCCGGAGATAATTGAGTGATTTTTTCCACCAGTGGTGGTCGCTGACTGCAGTCAGCACAGCCTTTGTGGTGAGCCCTGTAGTGGCCAACACCTTCATGGTTGTTGCTGTAGTCCTGTGCAGCAGGTCCCCCGCTGCCCCCACAGATGAGCCCTCGGTGGGAGCACAGGCCTGGGGTGGTGACAGGATGGTCAAAAAAATAAAACAGCCACGTTATTCCAATATATCAGTCTGTTGTCTCTACTGTAGTAGGCAAAATAAACATTCAGGTACAAGCTGAATTTATCCTGCAATAATATTGAACACTTCTTTTTTGCAAATGAAAAAGCAGCATCAGGAGTTCTCTAAGAGCTACATCAATACTGTTATATTAGACCAAAGGGCGAATTTTGAGCAGAGGGCTCTTGAGTATCAGTGTGGTATTAAAAATGGCTGTGTTGTTTTTTTTATTATGTACCGTACTTGAGAAGAGCACTTCAATGAGTGGAAGGTCCTATGTGTGTTTGCCGGTTTTTTTAAAGCACTTTAAAGGCAATTGTATAGAAAATGTGCCAATGTCATAAAGGCAGTGGGGTGCAGATTCATTACACAAAACAAACCTGAACCAAAGGTCTTTATTCAGTGATCCTAGAAAATATAAACTTGTTAACTTAAAGCAAAAGTTCTAACTGTGTCTTTCTGGTGTAGACTAGATGAGATAACATATCGGTCCATCAAATATAAGGTTAATACAGCAGCTGGTTAGCTTAACTCAGCACAAAAACCTGAAACAGTCGGCTGCTACAATAGCTTCACATTTAAGGCACAGACACGACATCTCATGTTCCACCACAAAGTGAATATTTCCCAGAATGTGAAACTGTTCCTCTAAAGAAAAGCAGGATATTGTCACAAATAACATTAAAACAAGATTATATGTGCCTGTATTGTTCAGTGATTGAGAATATGATTATAACTATGCACCGATAAAAATCCGTCTTTCACAAAAAGAAAGTTTTCCTCATTTTTAAAAGGAACAAAAATCAACAAATGCATGATGCACTGGGCTGTAAGCTGTGTTCTTTGAGTGTTTTTGAAAGCACACCAACAGTTTCCACGGTATGCTGGTCACTGGACAACTCAAAAGGATTTTAAAAACACATTTAGAGGGCCAGTGGGCTGGGGGCAAATCGTTTAGTGCCTTTCATCAATACTTTATTTGGCAGGGGATTAAGGGTCACGGAATGAAACGAACCCAAACACACTTACACTCAAGGTGTTTGTTAAAAATAAAAAAAAACACCCAAATAAATACATGTACCTCCAGAGTGTATATACACACACATTGCAACATCAGTGTAACAATGAAATGACAATAGATAGCTTCGAATGCACAAAGGGTATGCAATGTAATTCATAAAACATTAACACCCACTCAAAGCATCACTAAGCTGGTGGTTCTGATGGGGAGGCATAAATAAACCAAGGCAGCTGAGCTACCTTAACACAAGAGCTGCACCTTTTGGAGCAACAGGAAAACACACAAACCCAAGGACAGTGACACACTAACATACATGGTGGAAGAGACATTTCAAAGAGCAAATGTGCAAACACATCAATGTAAAAAAAAAAAAACACATACAAACCTTTACAGAGTCCGTCTCATCAGCCTCTCGTCCACTCGGTGTAACGGCAGGCTCCATTTCATAGTTAACTGCCTGGTACAGCACCTAATGTGAAGATTAGCAGGTAAGCAGAGAAGTGCATTAAGAGTACAGGTCCCCAAACATTTTTGCTTGTGACCCTTTAAAGCACAGCTTGCCACAGGTTGCATACTGTACGTCTATGAGGTCTGAGAAATTTAAACAGTGCAAGTAAAACTGCAAGCATTACTGTGCTTCGGGCTGTCGGTCAAACAAGCAATTTTAAGGTGGTATATTGCAGTACTTTGCATGTGAATGTTATATTTTGATACTCACTCAAAGCAATGCAATATACTGTAAAGTAAATACTACAGTTGAAAAAATATAAAGGAGAACATACAAAAGAATCAGAATAAGTCAGTTTAAAAATCCATTTTGGTTAAATCCTATTAGAAGGAACAGCAGAGACTAACCTGAGTTTGCAGGTCCCTGGAGGCAGCCAGGAGGCCATGGATGTTATCAGGTGGACAGTGGGTGAGGGAGAATGCTAAAAGCTCCTGCCGGGCCTCCAGGTCTCCGTAGCCCTCACACTGACCGAGCAGAGTGCACACCTCCCACGCTGGACTGTAACCTGGAGGAAACACAGATGGAGGCAAACAAGGAGGTAAGATAAGGTGAAGTTTAGTCAGACAGGTAAGGAGACAAAAGGAGGATGTGGTTTTAAACTTAAATGAAAATGAGGAGATGACTGCAATTGTGATGAAAGAATCAACAAATATATTACATAGCAAGAGGAGGTGATACAAATAAAAGGTCAAATGGTCAAATATAAACAAATTTACTCTCTCTCACACAAACATCACACAATGCGGCTGAGTAGTTTTCAGTTCTGCCACTCTCCATCCATCTGTGCTAATCTAATCAAACAAAGGACCAAGGCCTAACGACACACTCATACTGTATGAAATGTAAGAACTGCAGAGTATATACAGCTTAGATAGGACGATACAATAAAGTGAAACCTTCCAAGGCCCTAGGATATTAATCTATATTCCTACTACATTTGTTCCAGCTTCATCAGAGGCACAAACCAACACGCCGCCCCGACTTCATTCTTACAAACAGATTCAATTATTCCCACTGAGTTCTCAGACAGAGAACACCGGTGCTTATCTGATTACACCTTCTCTTTCTCCCTGACACCTCTTTCTCATCCACACTGTCTCCAATTACTCTGGGCTGTGGGACGACAGTGAAATTCTATTCACTTTCATTTTTCTATGGCGTAACATAAAACCCGGTCTGTCAAAAATGTCATTATCACAGTGACCGTGCCTTCAGGAAAAGTGTGGGGAGAAGGCAGTCTACACTGGAATATTATGGTGATATCATTCTCCTTATTTTTCTTGCAGATGAACAGACACATATGCACACACAAAAAACACAACCTTGATTCTGGCCATTTGAGGAAGGGTTCCCAATTGTTTACAAAAAAAGCCTCAAGAACATCATATAGACTCCAACTTAAAGAAATAAAGAACACAAAGAAATCACAGTGTAAGTGTTAATTATAGGACTTGTAATGAAACCCATATGTGGACACAACAAGCTCTGATAAACTTGTGTTTCTCACCTTAAATCCAGTTAAAAACAAGACCTTTATAAATGTCAATTGCCACTTCATTACCTAAACTATTTATCTGGAGCCACTGCCATTTCAGTTATGATACACAAAGAAATTTTACATTTCAGTGTTTATAACTGACATTTTAGGTGGATTTATTTTTGAGCTTCACTTCAAAATAACTTGTTTAGATAATTAGACAACAGTGGGAGTTTGCTTAAAGGAATAGTTTGACATTCTGGGAAGTACTGATGAGAAAACCAGTTCCACTCATGTCAGTTTGTTTACTGTGGAGCACAAAGCCTGGGGAACAGCTGGCTTGGCACTGTGTGGAAAGTCAAAAGTACGCCTAGAGGAACCTCTAATGATTCCTAATCACCACATATCTTTTCTGTCAAATTCCTGGAGGTGCACTGTTTCACATTTCTCTGGGATTGACTACATACCTGCAGCCATGAGGTCCTGGCAGTGGATGTAAGCGGCTTTAAAGTCCAGACACTGGAGAGCTTGCTCTGCCAGCAGGGTCAGCACTTGGCCTTTCCGTGTGGCCTCGTCATCTCCTAGACACATGCACAGAACATAATTTCAGTAGGCATCAACACTGGAAAGATGCACACAAACATGAAAGTGCTCTGTATTTTCTTTTTCTCTTTTTCACACTCGCACACACAACAGACTTAAGGTTGGAATGTAAGGATGTCTAAAAGTATTAGCTGCACCACAGAGTGAGCATGAAACCACGCATTAATCTGTGTTTATCATAAATGAGCTTATTGCTGCATCTGTTCATCTCAAAGAGGGAATATAAAGCGCTAAAAAATGCTATCCCGCTGTCTCATTCAACAGAAATAAATCTCAGTTTGATATCTTAGTGCTGGTGGGATTGTTCCTGGTATTAACATTCATGTGGCGGATCAGGACAACCTTTGATCTGTGTGTGAGCTCGATAAACAAAACAAAAAAAAGAGAGGAAAGGACGATCAAAAGAGGCATAGGCAGAAACAGGACTTGTGAACAAACCTGTAGACTGAAGATCAAAGAACGGCGGTTGAGATGAAGAAATGCAATGCCACTGGATTGGTGTCTGTGTGTGCACAAGTTTGTGTGCAGAGTTTAGCAGTTTACTGCGAAGGGGAACGAAGCGTAGGTCAACTGTTTTCGGGGTTACTGGACAAAGGGTGTGTTCAAAAGCTGTCAAGACTTCAATATAGCAGAGGTTTGTGTGCACTTGTGTGTGTGTCTGACAGCACGCCTTGTGTTCTTTTAGAGCAAACGCTTTTATCAAGACATCTCTGGCCCTTTTTAAGATCATCTAAATTCAGCTGAAGCCTTTCCCTGTCCTTGATGGGCCAATCAAAGGTTGGGATTAGAAGCTGAGAAATGTCAGGAAAACGACAAATAAAAAAAACACTCAAGTTAATAAGCTTGCAACATGATTTTCTGAGTCTCTTTACAGGCTCATCACCAGAATCATTTCGAAGTCACCACTATTTCTTTCTCATTTGGAATATCAAAATCGATTCATTTAGACAAAAACAAGATTTTTCTTATCCGTGCCCTATAAAACTGAATCATTTACAGAGCATTTCTCTAGACTGAGGCAGGAACCAAACCCTTAAGGTTTTTAACCGGCGTGCTGGTGATACCTGCATTAAATATTCACCACAGAGCCCTGGAGCTATGCACCCTTCAAAAGCCTCCCCCCTGCATTTATTTATTTAAAAATTTGTTTATTCCTCCTCTCATCTCCCTCTGCCTCTTTTTTTCTGAAGCTACACAGTGGGAGCTGCCTGGTGACTGAATGTGAGCAACACAGAAATGCCACAAGGCCGGTGAGCAGGCTTCCTTCAGGTGGTGGCACGCCTCAGAGAGTGAAGACGAAACGAATGGCAAGATAAAAGATGACGGACAGAAGAAGCAACAGAGAGACACAGGCACAAAAGAGTCCATCTCATATTGCTGAAGAAAGATAAAACCAACTTGAAGATAAAAAGATGGGAACACACACAAACAGGAACAAACAGGTTCGTGTCATTTTGGAGGTCAAGCAGATATTGGACACATTTTGGTTTTCCCACAGGTTGTCAGTTTACATCTTTTTTTAACTCCATGATTTATTTAGGATTTTATAATCAGCCAAACAGCTTTCTTTTCATGTGTTCAACATTTCTGAGTCAGTGTGTTGCCATGTTTACAGCTCACTGTGATATACTGTACTGTGGTTCCACAGTTTGTAATGCCAAGTGGAAACATGAAAATTAAAAAAACACTTTAAAGGATAAGGGCAGTCATTTTCTATACTAACAGTATTTTCAGCACTCCCCATACAGAGACTAAAACCAATAATGGTTTGCCTCTACTCACGGTTAAAGTCTGTCAGTGTGTCGTTGAATGTTCCCTACCAGCATAATTTAACTTTAAAATAAGTTCAGTATGTTTTTTTTTAAGCAACATGAGGCAATAAACAGAGTTTCAAAGAGGCTGAACACTGGGTGCCTTATAGGTACAACAAAGAAAAGAACTCACATATTTTTTAACACAGAAAAAGGCACCAGTCATGAAAATCAACAACATATTCTCTCAAATGTCATTAGCTAAGAGGAACGGTGACTGCATGGGGCAAAAATGACCACAGAGTGAAATCAATTTCTCTGTGACGCAGTTAACAACCAAGTCACAAACTTAAAGTCAGGGCTGCCATTCAGAAACAGCAACTCTCCGTCGATTTATCTGAGCTGCAAATCCTGGTGTACAGAGATGACATGATGACCTGAACCTGTCCCTGAACGTCAAACCCGCATGAAACTTGAGCACAGAATAAAGGTTTCGAGAACACACAAGGCAATGTGTCTGGGGAATGCAATGTGTTCGCTCGTTCCGGACGCATGTGTGTCTGTGAGTGTTTAAATAAGGATTTCTGCTTGCAAGCTACGACACCGCTCATGAAGATTAATTTCCCTCTTGTGTGAGAACTGTGCGTTCGCATTTGTAAATCTCTGTGCCTCATGTGGGTGTTCCTTCCTCATTTAATCTCATGAGCTTTGTCATAAAACCAGCCCCAGAGAAGAGTCTGGTTCACTGAATGTGAACCTGAAACACATTTGTAACATGAAAAACTGAAATGAATGAAAGGAAATGACAAAAAGAAAAGGAAAAATAGTGATTATGATGAGGTCAATGTGTGACTGTGTGTGCGTCTTTAGGTACCTGCCACTCGGAGAAGTGAGGCCAGATTCAGCAGAGTAGTGGACTGTTTGTAGGCGGTGGAACAGTGGGCGATGCACTCTTGTATGATAGACAGACGATTTGATCGCAGGCGCACTGGGGGGGAGACAAGGGGACAAGGGTGTCAAGACATGTTTTGCACATTACTCTATTAATTCTGGGGTAGCAGGTAACAGCTGGTAATACATGTGATGGAACGTAAATGACGGACGCTGCTGCTGTAATAATAAAATGCTGTATGAAAGAACAGTCTGACTACAGCTATACATTGGGCGATACTGATAATGAGACCTTTTAAATTAACCACATAAAATATTAACAAAATTCCCTGATGAATTGATCTTACTTCTGTCCCATACTGTGAATTTGACTGGTTGGCAGCGACATACACCTGCAAAGCAGTAACCTAGTTTTAAGAAAAAATAACAACCACTCACTGGTTTCATCTTCTCCGATGTGGAGCTTTTAGCGCTTTTTCACTATTTTATTTGATTGTACACTGGATACCTTTTGAACTATTCAGACTAATTGGATGAAACAAGATAAACGTTATCTTGGACCCTGGAGAACTGTGGTGGTTCTTTTTCATTAGTTGCTGATGTTTTATAAACCAAACAATAAAGCACAAATATACGGTGGACAAAAAGTAAGTAAATCCTTTGGAATTACCTGCATTCACAGTGTGTAAAATTGGTCAGATCTTCATCTAAGTTACAATAATGAACAAACACAATCTATTTTAACTAATAACACACAAATCATTGTATTAATTTTCACCATACATCCTGTGTGGGTTGGGAAAAGTCTGTGTACCCCCAGGCTGATGACTTAAATAAAAGCTAATTGGAGTCAGGACTCAGCAAACCTGGAGTCCAATCGATAAAACCAGACAGGAGGTGAGGGCTGGAGCTGCTTTGACTGAGAAAAAAAAATTCAAATATTTTGAGTTTGCTCTTGACAAGAAGCATCTGCTAATGTGAACCATGCCTCACAAAAAAAGAGAGCTCTTAGAAGACAATCAATAATTCGTGATTTGCATACAGCTGGAAAGGGCAACAAAGTTATCTCAAAGAGTTTACATTTTCAGCAGTCCATGATTCACTCTGCATTGCATGGAGATGATTTAATGCTGTGGCCACATTCACTAGAAGTGAGTGCCCAGTTGAACTGACTCCTAAGGTACACCACATTTATCAGCGAGGTAAAAAAAAAAAAAAGAACCCCAGGGTAACAGCTAGAGGCTTAAAGGAATCATTGGAGCTAGTTAACATCTCTGTCCATAGTGCACCCTTGCATAGTATACATACAGAGCAACTTGACACTCGACACTACTGGGAAATGTCTAGTGGACTAAAGTTGAACTGTTTATGAAGAATATGCACGTATGGTATAAAAAGGGCACTGCATACCAACATGAAAACTTCACCCAATAGGTGAAGTACAGCGGCGGGAGCTTCATGATTTGAGCCTGTTTTGCTGCCTCAGGGCCTGGACTGCTTTGTCATTTTACAAGGTATCCCACAACAACAGTGACTTATGTATAATAATTGTCAAGAGCATGTTAGGTATACCCAACTAAATGAAATGCAGGGTAATACAATTGTCCTGCAGTCACTACTCTCTTCATGAGGTGATGATGTTCAGTTTTTGTTCCAACTGTTTAAAGAGGTGTTGATTCAACAGTGTGATCATTTTGGAGGCTGTAGTTTGTGCTGCTCTTGAAATGTACTGCATTATACAGACCGCTGTTTTACAGAGGACATGTTCTGACATTTAGTCTGTCCTTATTGATTTAAATGCACTTGTCAGCACTATGGAATAGAATTCAACAGCACAACAAAATGTGCTCATCTGATTTATAGGACCATAAATTAAACCAAAACAGAAATAAAACCCTAAATATTATCACCTTCATAGGGGACAGATTTATTGCAGGACTGTTTTTTCTAGGTGTACCTAATAAACTGGCAACTTAGTGTATTCTCTTGGAGATTTGAGATTCAGTGCTCATTCTTTTATGATATGAATTTAACCTGGCTCATAATCCTGTGAATTCCTCCGAGTTCACAGGATGGAAGAGATTTCAGGCAAATTTCAAACCTATTATAATTCGAGTTCAAGATATAAAAGCTCCCAAAAAGAAATTTTAACTTTCATGTCTTTCTAATCTTGTACTGAAACCCTGAGAAACAGCATGTTTAGTGCCACTGCAGGCCTCTGTGCCTTCCCTCCTCCCCGTTGAAGATCTTTACAGCTTGGCATCACTTTGGGCGAAGCCTAGAGGGAATTCTGGGGAGGGTGGTGTATATGAAGCATCGCCTTCGGCTTTGCAGGAGGGCTGCAGATGGATTACCTCTGCTCAAATCTTTTCACTTGTGTGTGTTTATCTGTGAAAGTACAACCTTACACGAATGGGGCTTTTACTTTTGTCAAAAAGAAAAATAATGTGCATCCCTTTCTGTGTGTGTGCATGCACATGTGTGCATGTGTCCCTGAGTCAGTACAAATAAACAGCATGGGGCCTTCACAGACAGTAGTATATGGAGCTGCGCAGCCAGTTGGGTCCTGAGCACTAGAAATAAGCTTTAGACAATAATCACTTATAAAAAACCCATACAACACTAAAAAGTCATAAGTGCAGTGTTTAACTACAAATCCCTTTCTTTCCTGTCATTTTTCTTCATTCCTTGCTTCTCATTGTTTTACCTCTAAACTCTCTCCTGTTCTCACTTTGTCTCACACATAAGTGCACAAAGTGGTAGACAACGAAGACACTGCGGGCTAAGTCATGCAGAGAGAAAAAAGAAAGGAGACAAATAGAAAGATGACACTTTATGGCTCTGTCACCGCTTTTATACTGGCATTTCAGTTTGATGAGAGCAAAAGAGCGACATCTGGGGCAAACTACACCTCAGTTCAGAGGTGAGGCGATGAGGGGCCAAGCTAGTTCATCCTGATTCCATTTTTCCTTTAACAGTGAGGTACTGATGAGGAGCCAGAGGAGAGAAGAAGAAAGAGCGTGGAGGTGAATACTGATTGGTCAGGTTTACAGATGGAGCACAAATATAAAAAAAGGACAAGTGTGTGTATGTAAGAGAGAGCACACATGTACAGACTCAACACTTCACTCCTAATTAGGCCATCAGGCAGATGTTGTTTGCTCGAAGGTTGATCCATAAATAACCATATATTTAGATATAGTGACAAGAAGAAGTGGCATATGGAGGGATGGAGGAACTGACAGCAGGAAAGGAGACAGCTTGGGTGATGCATGGGTGAGGGAGGTGGCGGATAGCATCCTCGCATCCTCAACATGTCTGAGTTTCAATGAAAAACTCCTCAGATGAAATATAAACACGCTTGTGGTTAATTGAGCAAATTCGGTGCTTTTTTCCAGGCGCACACACAAACATTTGTTACTACCTTGCAGTGGCAGGATGCTGACACTGAAGTCTTCCAACTGGCTGAGGGCATTGATGAGGTCCAGTTCCCCCCGGATGGCTGGAGGACAGTCTGCGATTAGCTGGAGACAAGCCCTGCCGGAGACAACAATCAATTATAAATAGGGTACAGGACAACCAGTCAGCTATTAATCTGTCCCAGAGGCAACCAATCAGATGGGATCCAGAAGAGAAAGTTTAAAGCAAAAAGTTTGACATTTTGGGGGAAACAGGTGTGTTCGTTTTTTTTTTGTAGAGAGTTAGAAGAGAAGACACAATCATGTCTGTCCTTTAAATATAGGCACAAAGACTAGAAACAGGGAAAACAGGTAGCCCAGCTCTGCCCGAGTGTAACAAAAAGTGTATTAGCAGTGGTGGAAGAAATATTGAAAATGTTTAAAAGTAGCAATACTACAGTGTAAAAATACTCTGTTACAAGTAAAAGTCCTAAATACTAATCATTACTTAAGTAAAAGTACAAAAGTATTAGCACAAATAGCATATACTTAAAGTAAAAGTAGTCATTATGCAGAATAGTACATTGTACATTGATCATCATCATATTATATCATATTATTTGATTATAATTACTGATGCAGTTGTTTTTGTCATTTTAATGTTGCAGCAGCTGATAAAGGTGGAGCTATTACTGCTGGGTAGCTTGAATTTCCCACTAGGGATCAATAAACTGATTATACTGTACTGTATTTTGATTAGTTAATCTGATTCTGAAAAGTAAATAGTAACTAAAGTTTTCCGATAAATGTAGCACAATTACTGCCTCTAAAATGTAGTGAATACAAAGTAAGAAGTAGCAGAAAATGAAAATACTTAGTATAGATACCTCAAAACTGTACTCAAGTACAGTACCTGAGTAAATGTACTTAGTTACTTTCCACCTCTGTGTACCACATCAGCACCCCTAAGGCTCACCAGTGATATCTCATTTGCTGAAAATGTACAAAAACCTTAATGAAGTCTTTATGCTGAGGTAAATTAAATAAGTGCTTCATACTGTATTAAATGAAAAGCAGTATTTAATTTGTCATCAAACTTTCTGCTAGAAAGAAAAACTTATTTCACGTGAAACTACTCCCGTTATTATCAGGGAGGTAAGGTCAAATTAAAAGCAATCCATCATCATTTGCTGTATTCTATATCAGAGGAATTTAGTTTTAAGCACGAGTCAGAAGCAACAGCATATGAGCCATGGTACATAAAATAGGTCACTTATATTTAATCTTATAGTACAGCAGTGCAGAAAATGGTTGCAAAGCAGAAGGGGGGTGAACTGACTGCATGGCAAACTCAGAGAGAAGGATTAAGTGAGTTTTCCTTATTTTGGCACACATTTTCAAAAATGATCATTAAGTCTGTGTTTCTACATTGTGATGTGAAATGTGGTGCAACTACTCAAATGGATTTATTTACAAAGTCTAGACTCACTTGATGGCTTTACAACAGGGGGGTCTTCTCTTACAACACAAACCAGACTCATTACCCTTAATAGGATTATGTAGCACATCATTTAGCATATGTAACAGTACACTGAATGTGTGTGTGGGGCTGTCTAAAATGTAAACATGCACTTTCATTTTCTTAGAAAGAAATCAGCAGATTGAAAGAGTAGGGGGGGAAATTTAAATGATTAATTTTCAAGTAACATAAATCTCATAAAACGACAGCTTAGAGAAGCTTGGATGTTAGCATCAGTGAAGTGGAAATGAGGGAACTTGTCCTTGGGATGTTTTATTCAACAAAGAAACACACACTGACCCACAATTTTCTATAACCCTCACAGTGAGTGAACAAAGACGATTAACGGAGAAGAAGAAGGGTCTCAAAATCCCTATCAGCTTAATTAGAGAAACCTAAAACACACATCTTAAAAACAGCATGCCTCTGTATTGTGAATTAGAGTAAACACAATGCAAAACACTCAGAACACAGCTTTGCGCCCTCTCAGCGCGGCAGGCGTTCTCGCCAGGAACGAGAGGTTTGCCCTGGCAAATGAAAGCAGAGGAGTGGGCTGGGGATGATGGAACGAGAGACAGAAAGAGGACACATTGATTATGTACTCGTACTGTCAAGTGTCTGCGGGCGTGTGTGTGTGTGTGTGTGTGTGTGTGTGTGTTTGTGCATGGAGACGGCCTTAGAAAAAACAATGATGAAATATTCTATTTCAATTGCAGGAAGCACAATGTGCTTTGCTGCAGGTACTGCTGTACATGGAATTTGGAGATAACTACATTCCTGTTGAACACCACACGCAAGTACACAAGTTAACATTTGTATAGCAGTTATCAATGAACACCATAGTGGAGACCCTGCCTTCCACCAGCAAACAGAGCAGCAGCGTACTGACACATCATTCTGTTCTTTTTTTTTTTTTTCCCTCCATCCCTTTCTTCATGTCTGTCATTTCCGCTCCAGTTCTCTCCCGACTCACACCAGGCCTTGCAAAATGAGCCTTTCGGAAATATGGGAGTCAGAACCAGCAAGAAAATGAATCAGCAACAAAATGAATCATCTTTTTTCTGACCTTCTTCCTGACTTCTTCCCATATTGGTGAATAAGGGTTGGTGAAATATTTGTGTCTTTCTCACCAGAGTACGTGAGGTTTTTTTTTGTTTTTTTTTTAACTTGGACATCTGTCTAGAACAGAATTGCAAGCAAATTGTTGAAACAGACCTGAAGTTTAAAGAAAGAAACAGAAATCTGAGTTGAAAAGAAAAAGCACAATTCTTCTGAGGACATTGTCTCACTTCAACTACTTCTCCTTGCCCTGTTTTGATAATGGCATACATAAATCAACCTCCCTTGGAGTAACTTTAACCAAATAAACACTGGGAAATTAAATCTTTGCTGAAAAAGAAAGCTAAACTATACAACAATACAAATAAGCCTACATTATATATTGGTGGAAAGAACTACTATGTTTACTCCCTAGTCGCTAACGTTGTCTGTCGGCTGTTTGGTGCTAGACGGGCAGCAAAGACGTAACAGTGTTCCACAGAACTAAGGAGAACTTCAGTGATCATTCTCTGTGGGTTTGTCGCTACATGTAACCCTTTAATATTGAATTGTAGTTATACAAACTATGTATGTGTTGCTCTCTTCTGTGTCTCCTGAGTGATGCTGTCAGATCACATTAGTAGCTAGAGGAGATCCCATGTTGTTTTAATAAGAGCTTCTCTGTCCTGGTGTCACTGTGTATTCAGGGTAAAGGTAGGTGCAGTGTGTTAGTACACAGGATAAAATGTGTGTCTGTGGAGCAGTTATTTTAAAAGACACAGGCAGCCAGTCTGCATGTGCTACTAATTTCAAAGCTACAGGTACACGTTCACACTCTATTTCTTACATTTCAACTTCATATGCAGCAAACACACACAGATGCGCAAGCACACACAGCGGGAGTGTTACAATGGATGATGAAACCCAAGTGTATGAAAGGGGGGCTCTGTATTAGTTACTATAAATGAGTGATGACCCAATTACTGCCCCACTTCTTCACTAGGAACAGACGGTAAGGTTAGACAACCACCCCCCCACCCCCAAGATCTGAAACCAACAACAGACACACACTCACACTGAGGACTAATACTTATATTTGGTATCAACACTGTGTAAAATATTGCAGGAGATGAAATAAAAGCTGCCACCATTATTTTTTTCTTGTCCAGCTATGTGAGCACAAAAACAAACATCCACCCACACAGACATAAGTGGTATTCTTATACTGTACATCAACAGCAACCGAGGTCAACATCTACAACATCATTCAAACACTTCTAGCTGGCTACATTTGTCCTGGATTGGTCAGAAATTACATCTACCCCATAACTTTACTCATTATGGCATGTCTAACATTTCTCTTTGTTCTAAGCTTTATCACATTAAATGTAAGCAGAGGCGGGCACTTGAGATGGCAGGCTATACTAGTTGTACTCAAGTCCCACAAACAGGCTTCCAACTTGCCCCTAACTGACTCCAGAGTTGACTCAGACTCATGAACATTAAGAAGCTTTCAAAGATTGGTAAAGAACTGCACATTTCTAATGGAAAGCTTTACAACCCTCTGTGACCCTTTAATGCATTACAGCTAGTGCCTGCCAACTATAAAACACCTGACGTGTGTACCGCAGACAACATATATCCATGCAATACCAGCTACCTGTACAGCGAATGTTGTGTGAATGTTAACACAAAAAAAGGTTTAATTTTACTGCACACTGTGAGGGTCTGGCAAGCAGACTTCTGGCTCATGGTATCTATTAAAATGAAAGCCTGTTAGATGTGCATGATAGCTGTTAAATGATGTGATGCTGATAACATTACCAATTACACTGTCATATCACTGCACTGCAAACAGACAAGAGACAGCTATAACAGTTTTGCATTTCCTGCCTCCAGTTTCCTTCATAAACTGTATTTTGATTAAATATATATGTGCGTGTGTGTGTGCGTGTGTGTGTGTGTGTGTGTGTGTGTGTGTACCTTCACAGAATTCAATAAAAAACTAGTTAGGTTTGTGGCAGCTCAGAGGGACATAGCAGCATCACTGAATCTTTTTTATTGTTCAAATGACAGGTCAGATAATTAGAGATGTGTGAGCCGCAGTGTTTAAGTGAAACATACTTTTTTTTATCCCCATAAAACATGTCTGAACCATAGACTGTATATAAAAAAATAGATGTAACAACTCCTGGAAGTGAAGCCACTGCAAGGCAATCACACCTGCAGTAACCCCACCCTATTTATGGTAGTGCCTGGGAGAAGGACAAATCATATACACTTTTCCTAAAAGTGATTTCTGTCACTTTAGGTAGACATTATCATTGTGTACAAGTGACATTTGTTTTAATAAGTTATTTAATGATATAAAAAGGAGTGTATTTTGGATGATTTGATGGGTGGCCTGAGACCACGGCTCCACCTCTGGTCGCTACTACGCCAAGTCTAGTTGCATAGTGGCAGGAAGTGGTGACACGTCCTCTATTTTTATATAAAGTTGAAGGTTTGAACAGCTTTTTTCTCTTCAATTTCAAGTGAAGGAATAAGGATATCATAAATGCAGTTCTGACACTATAAATCATTATCAGTAATTACACTGGATAAAATTCAAAAGGAGAAAATGCTTTTGCACTCAGTGACTTAGAGACTCTCACTCCAATTTAAAGAGACTCCTACCCCACAGAGTTCAGACTTGAATTAGAAGAAGTGAGAACTGGCACTGAAAATTTTCAAACCAGCCTTGATGGAAATTCTCCACCTCATTTTTGGCCTCACCTAGCCAGGCTCATGCAGGGGTCTGTCAGTGTCGTGGAGGAGTTGAAGTATTCCCTGGCAGCAGCCAACACTAATTCCACACTGGTGCCATAGGCCACCTTCAGAGAGTAACCTTTACCTCGGAAAGACAAGCTGACAGGAACATCCTGGCTGACCTGAAAACATTAATTTAAAATCAAGGGATCAATGAGACTGCAGCATTAGAATTCAGTATGGCTGGTTTAATATCTGGGGACTCCAATGGACAGTGGGATGTACTCTGAAGCCGAGTCACATTAGTTATACCTCGGAGCAGTGCATGAGCTGTCCTGCCAGGCGTATGTTCTCCACACGGCTGGAACACAGTAGGGACTCAACAAAGACCTGCAGCAGTCAGGAGACATTACGCAGAAACAGAGCAGAAAACATATTAACTGAACAAAAGTTTTAACATCGTTTGATTTTATTTCATCTAAACTTTGAATTCAGAGGTTCCAGAGGCGGAACCATGGAGCTCAATGTGCGAATTAGGTACTAAATTGTCATTCAAGGGGTGAAATGTGCACACAAACGATCATTTTGTGTAACCTTCTTTGGCTTGGGTGCAATACCTGGTGACATGACTCTGGTTTAAGACAGGTATAGACGTTGTGCTGCATGTCAAGAAGGTCCTGCAGGAGACCTCTCCACACTGTCTCACTCACTGGAGGGTTCCTAGGCACACAGAAACATGTGTAATGTACTGTGTGTTCAGCTAGACTGACAGTGTATGCGTGTGTCTGTGTCCATACTTGCGACCAGTGTGGCGGCACAATTTGACCATTAGTTGATGGGCTTCCTCTTCACTATTCTGGCTGTTCTTCACATATGAGACGGGCTTCTGCAGACCATGCTTCTCCAGAACCTCCACCACACTATTATGCACAAGCACGGACACAAGCCATAAGAAACCTGTCATATAATCATAAAGACTAAGAAAAGAAAAACTAATGACAAAACGAGTACACAGCTTTGAGTCACATTAATCAAGCGGTTCTTTAATTGTAGGAGTTGACAGGATGATTGGCAGCAGTGGGTATCGCTGTCAAAAATTCCAAAAGAGGAGAAATGTAGGGGAAAATAAAACCTGAAAAATCCAAAGGAGGGTAGGGATGAGAGACACAGAAAATGCGTATGCTCTAAGCTGTTCATTCTTTTGGCAGCAGAAAGTCATTTGCAAGACAGTGCAGATGGAGAAAGTGTCAAGCAAGGTTGAAGACCAGCATGACAAACTGCACTCAAGCTCTTTGTGAGTGTATGCTTGCGTGCGTCCAGGAGCATGTGGATGCTGGCGGTCTAACATGACCGAGGGTGCGTGCATGTGTAGGACCAGCATGGCAGCCCCCTGTCTCAACAAGGCCATGCTGCTACAGATGTTTGCTCTCTGCTGAAAGTCATTACCATAGTAAACAGGTGCTTGTGTGTGTATGTGTGTGAATGTGAGCAAATGACAGAGACAGACAACAAGCCCTGATATTTACAACCACGGGTGTGTATTTTCACAAGTGTGAAAGTGTGTGTGTGTGGGAATGCCTGCATGTTCCTTGTGCACATATTAATGCGGCAGCAAGAAGTAGTGGCAGCAGCAGCAACAGCTGAAAACAGCTGTTATTCTTGAGGCATTCTGAGAGCAGCCTCTTCACATTTACTGCCTGATTCATCTGGGTAAGAGTATGTGTGTGTGTCTGAATGTGGGGGTGTCTCAGTCACAGTGCATCTGCACAAAATCTACACGAACACACTTTCCATGATGCCTAGGGTATGTTTGTGTCTGCCTACATTTAACATGTGGGGTTATTTGTCTGTAATGGCCAAAACTAAGCTGTAACACAGGCTTTCCTGTTGCTGCTTCCTCCTCATCATCATCATCATCTACACTGCCATCCCCTTCAGGCTCCCACCCTTCCCCTGCATTCATCCCCTTTCCTTCCTCTTTATCACTTCTTTGTGTTTGGAAGTTCACCATGAGGGAAGGGGTGGAGGAGAGAGAGAGACACATAGGTGATTTTAACCTGAAAAAGAGAAAATGCCTGAGGCAGTTTGAATACCAAGGGATAGAAAGTGGTCCTTTGATATCAACTCTGTGTGTGTGTTGACTGCACATCCATGTCTCTTCTCCTTCTAAGTGTTTTCCATCAGACCCATAAAGGGGGAGGGTAAATGCTACAAAGTGAACATTTCCCAAGCAATGCAGCATTAATCACTACACTGAAGGGCTGCTCTTTTCAGCACTTTAAATGTCCTGAAAATGGGCACAACAGAGATGTATAGATGAAAAGCTAGACTGAAGAGCTAGAGTAACAGTCCCAACCACAAAATGGATCCAATTGAAACTCCTAAAGAAAAGGGGAAAGTGCATCCCCATATATCCAAGAGCCTGAAACTAGCCTCTGTCTGGAAATTCATGGTGGTGAGAATGAACATGTACCTGAGGTGCTTCTCAAGTTTGTCCACCTGATCATGGAGTGATGGGGTGATATCCGTCTCTGGCCTGTAGGATGACATACAAACACAAACTATTGGTGTCCATGTTGTAAAAAATATCTGGAATATATTAAATAGAACATTAAGCAGGATGTTTTGTACATAATGATGCGTACAGCAGTGACAAGTGCACACTTGTGTGTATTTTAGTGCTTCTACACTGTGTGGTTGTACTGATTTCCCACTAAAAATAAAACCCCATGATGATTTGCCTTGAGGCAAAGAATTCTGGGTCAGACTGACCTGTCCCCCACTGGAGTACCGACCCTGATGAAACAATCTTCTGTGTGTGTGTGTCTCAATGAGTGAGCAAGAATGTGTTTGTGCTTTTATGAGCACACTTTTCTCCCCCAAACTTTTATTTTTTTACACAGTGTTGTCATGTCAGTCCATTTCTCCGCATCCTTTTCTTCTATCTCTGCTGCTCCACCTTCTGCTCTTCCTATTTTAATACTCTTTTTCTGCCTGATTTGATTTCTCCTCCTCTCTCACATCTAATCCTCTGCCCATTTCTGCATTTTCCACACTACAAGGGTGAACGCAAGTCACATTCTTCTGAGAAGATTTAGACCTAATGAAGCTGTCTCAAGAAAAAAAAAATGAAAATTGAGTTGAAACTACTAAGTCATGATTTCTCTCCTGGCGCACATACTGTATCTGCAATATTCTAAGCTGGGGTGGCAATTCTGGAGCTTAGTAAGTCAGAGAAATCACTCCTGGGAGAAACGTGAAGGCATTGCATATATAGAGTAGTCTATTACAGCCTTGCTGCTTTGCTAATCCAAACACTGCAGAAAGGGAACCTGCCAGAGAAAGTGAAATGATTAGTATGACCTGCAGCACTGCAACGACTTAGAAAGAAACATGCGTTTTACATGCAGTCAGGTATTTTTAATACCGTTTTGAGTAGTTGTACATTCAATTGCTAAACCTCAGTATTAAGAGAATACATCTTAATGGGAATCCACCTTAAAAGCCCTAAACATTTTCAGTGTTTGTGCTTGTTGTGATGCAGTGACCGGGTTATCTGATTTGAGAAATATAACAAGATGTATTCCAGAATCTGATCCTACTGAAGGAAATACTGCCACATCTGACTCTATAAATGTGCTCAGTGAAATAAACTGCACTTAAAACATTTTACTGCATGCCCACTTCTAGTCCTGTATCTACCGTCTTCCACAACTGTCACCTAGAAGCTCTTGATCGTCTTGAATACTTAAAAAGAACATGAAGCAGAGCAGACCTGGTGCCCTCCCTCTCTCTGTGTGGTCTCTATCGTGCAGCTCTGCTCCGAACAAACATTTGCTTTCCTCCAGCACCACAGAAGACACTGTCTATGGTTTCAGAAATATTTTCCACTGGGAGAAATTAAAAAGATGAACAAAAGTGGGACAAATGTGGGATACCTGTATTTACATGAACTAGACTGGTTCAGTTTAGCACAACAATACACCTTGGTTGAGAGTGGCTATGATCCCAAATGGTACTATACTATCCTATTTCAGTGCAGTTATCCACTGCTGAGTGCTCAGTGGAAATACATATGATCATAGCCCAGCACCCCACAGCGCAGCTAAAGTGAGCTATGTGAGCCAGCTGGAAAGGGCAAAAAATGCCATTGATGAAAAGTATGATTGCTGCACTGCAGTCTACAGACATGAAGAAACACTAAGCATCCTTATAGTGGTAATTAATACTACCTTGTGAGGTTAATATGCACACAGCAAGGATAAACCATCTAAGAACAAGTCATTACAGGTCCATTTTATCAACTATTTCTTCCTGTTTTACTCTTGGTTTTTTCATCTCAGTCTTTTATGATCACTCCTTCTCCTTCATATGCATACCCACATACAGTGGCCTCATGGGAAACCTACAGGGCAGGTCTTCCTGCTGTATGAAATATCTTACAGAAAAGGCAGGGGAGAGAGGGGCAGAGACAGCAATAGCAAAAAGTGGGAAATACTGTATAGACTGTAGCTACTATAGGCTAAGTGATGGCCCCTTTGAGCCAGATTTAAGCACAAAAGAGAGAGAAAAAAGAGGAAAACAAAGGTGCAAAGGGAGGAAGACAGAAACAGAAGTGGTAGTTAGGTTTACTGATAGGTCCTAGGAGAGAGGTGGAAAGGAAAAGTGAGAAGGAAAGGTTATAGGTTGGATGGGTGGGACCAATGTATTCTTATGGATGAGGCAATAGTGGACTGCTGTACCATCTTTACATCATGCTTTAAAGCTATTTGGCCACTTGACATTGTACATGTGTGTAGTTATGCATGTTTGTGTATCTGACCCGTAGCCCCTCTGCGGCAGACACTCCAGGACGTCATAACAGAGGCTGAGCTGGTCATCTCTCTCACAACTGTAAATGCACTCCAGGGCCACCGCCATCAGCTGGTCTGGGTCCCCAATGATCTTCTGCAGGCACTGGAAGAGAGAAGATGGGAAGTCAGTATGTGTGTAACAAGGTCTGACAAACCCTGTAGTCCAGTCGTACAAACACACTGAGGTACAGTATCAGTCAGAGCACATCATTGCCTTTGTGCGTGTGCAGCATGTTTTCTAACAGCCCGGAGACCTGTCCTGGGCTGTGTCCTTCTGGGCTCATAAAAATCACATTTATAGCACATGGCCACGACACTGGCCCTGACATAGCACAAACAGAGCCATAACGTGTGTGTGTGTGTGTGTGTGTGTATGCTTTCATTTACTGTCCCTCTGCCAAATGTGAAACTCACTACACTTGAGTTTGTGTTTGGATACTTACATCAGGTTTGGAGTGCTGGAAGATGGTGAGGGGCAGGGCGAGGTCTTGCTGGGCCAAGCTGACCAGGTACTCCCTGAGCAGAGCCTTAGCAGCACCTTCTTTCTGTCCCTCACATCGGTGCAGGAACGGCACCATCCACTGGAGGGCATCTTTTACATAGCGTTCGGTGCTGGACTGGTGTTAGAAAGACATTTACTTGAAGACAAAGTTAAATCAATACGAACAAGTGCCTCATACGCATTTAAAGCTTATTGGTACTCATAACAGCTTTTTATTTCCCATCTTGCTCCAAAATACTGACAATGTCTGACCAAAAAATGATCAAATACTGGTTTTATCTTTTTTTTTAGCATTTACTACCTGCCCTATATCAGAAATATTGTTGCAAAGGTGAAAACTCTCCTGATCTAAGGTCAGGGCAGCCTTGGCCACCATTTTATTACTGTATTTCTTGGTCTTCTTTGTGCATCATTAATTTTGGAAACTGTCTGGCAATATATTAACTGATAATGAAACATGCACAATATTGTTTTAACGATTTTAGATTGATCACTGAGTACTTTAAACTTCATTTAAAATCATGCTGTGCAATCAAACCTGAACTTGAACTGTACTACAGCAGCTATAGCATGCTGTGATTTCTGAGAATGCATGTCAAGTTTGTGCAGGGCCTTGCACCCAACTTGCGACAGTTCTAATCTCCAGATCAGATACATAAAGAGAGCGTCCACAGCAATAATGAGATTCAAAAATATTCAGATTCTAAGTGCAAACTTGCGCACCCACACACAAACATTTTACTTTGCTGGAATGCATCTCTGATAAGAAAAACATTACACACAGGCAAAGAGGAAGATTTAATCTGGGCGAGTTTGGTAAACATTCACAGACACACACATACACTCACACAGCACCCAGAGGGAGTACCAGTCAAACAGCATGTGTTAGTGCAGTCAACAACATTTGCTGGCTCCCTGCCTGTATGGCAGATCCTACTGGCAGTGGTCCTCACAAGCTAAAGCTGGCAGCTATTAGCTACAATTTAGAGGACCACTCATATTATGTACTCTGAGGGGACTTGTAACTGTAGCACCTGCTACAGACTGGCTTTGATAGCTCTCTTGCTGGTGTTAGATGGACAAAGTGTGTTGTCAGAGATTGAAACAATTGAACAGATTTACTGTGGAACTACTATTCAGTAAATTCTCAAAATGTGCATTATGTCTTTATCTTTTCAGCTAGGAAAATACCAAAAAGGCAAGTCAGCTTAGTAAGCCAAATGGAAAACAATTAAATCAAACTTCCTTTGGTAAATTCATATGATGATCATGAGTTTCAAATAATTAATTGATTCCAAAACATATTGAAGTATGAACGGTTAAAGGCACTAATTATACCACTTACGTTTTTCATGAGCAGGCGGAGCTTGTCGATGTCACTCAGCTGCTGCAAATCTTTGAGCGTCAGATTCAGTTCACATGATGTCTCATACACAAGTGTTTCCATGGTGACCAAGTCATCACACAAGCGCTCCAGCCCTGGGATCTCACGCTCCTTGCCCAGGCGCACCAGTGACAGAGCGCAGTCCACCTGATGGTTAGAGAGATTTGCCAGTGACAGAGAAGAAAAAAGCAAAATGCAACATGGAAAACAGCCACTAAACAACATGTACATATAGTAATAAGCCAAATTCTTTAGGTTTAAGGAGAGTCAACATATATTTCAGGTGATAGTGCCTATTCATGTCCTACACTGTTATGGACTAGCATTATGTAAAAACTACCCCTTTAAAAATAATTGTTTTTACAGCTGGATATCAATTTACAGAAAAAATAACATGCAACGCTATAGAGTCTAGTGCAATGCAGTACAAATGCCCTGAAAACAACAGTTCTACATTTGTGAAGCATACTGTGTTCCATTTGTGTTATGTGCGAGTTGTTGTAATTAGCTCTGGTAACGGCCAGAGCTAATTACAACAACTCGCACATCTGTTATCTGTTCTATTGTACTGAATTTCTACATATTGCCTTGTATCTTTCTGGCTCGTTACAGTCAGATCAACAAATTCAAAGCTAGTTGTGTAGCAAGTGAACCAAGAGGCTTATTTCGTGTCACTGAAAATTTGTTGCTGAGGTCACTGATCTGTGGCATGAATAAAAACAAAACAATATCAACTAACCAATCCAAAGCCAATACTACCTGCCCGTCATTCCTTTGAATCATAAAAAAGGGGAGATTTGGGCTTCCCACAACTCTGATTAATAAAAAATCCATCCAGAAGAGCAGCCAATCAATATCTGACCACTGATACGCTGTCAGCACACCCAGCTAATCAATGTTCAGCACCTGTGGATGGTAGCCAAACAATGGCAGATGCCACTGGGCCCTATAATAATAACTGCTTTCCACCTTTTAGAGAAGAGGAGCCCACTGGCACAGTGGTTAGTGCAAGATCTGGCTCATATGCAGTCACACACAAACACAGGGTCTGCAACCGAGTCATCTTCAGCTTCACTGAATAAATATTTGCATGCCTTTATTTGTAAAATGTACACACACATACAAGGAGAGAAAACCCAAAATACCTTGAGCCAGAGCCTGAGCAATTAGATACAACAAGAGAGAGAAGTCTATTGATCTAATTGTGAGTAAAGAGCCTCCCTGTTCTCTACACCCCTCCCTCTGTCTCGCTTTCCCTGCTCTCCAGAGATGGATTCCCCGGCTAACCGCAGACAATCGGATGTTAAAACCTCACACATTTTAATTATTACCCTCTCCTCATCATTCTCTACTGTGTAGCACAACTTGTATCCTCTCTCTCTCTCTGTGCTGCCTCCCTCTCCCCACTCCAACAGAATTATCCAGCTCTGCTTGATTCTTCATTGTCTTCCCTCTCTGTCCTACCTCAGTCCTTTCTTTCAGACATCCTTTTCACATTTTCCCTTCAATTCTGCTCAGTATTTTATCTTCTTTCTTCTCGCCTCTTAACAGAATTCTGTTAACAGTCACTATGGTTGACCTCCATTTGAACTCACAGTCTGGCTCTTCACCTTCTCTTTATGCTCGCCTCCCCTCTGTCTGCTTTTACAAAACCAGCCTCTCATTTTGAGCCATTTTGTTGCCAACAGTATTTCAAACACATTTTTAATACTGTTTATTTCTGCCCTTTCACACCTTATAACTGGTAATTTACTTTCCCACAGCCCACGAGATTGCTTTCCTTTTTTACCTCAACATCTGTTAGTGTTGTCCTGCCCCTCTTTCTGCGTTTGTAAGACACTAACTAGGAATGTTGCATTTGGCCAGCATTTATCTCCTTTTTCTCTCCGTTCTTTTGGTTCCATTCTTCCATTCTCTGCTTTTTTGCAGACCCACGTCTCTCTCTGAGTCATCTTGTCAATCTCCCCATTCAGCGCTTCTCATCCTGCCGCTCTGTGACTGGTTTAGAACACTTCAGCTTCCTCTGATGAGGCTCCTTTTAATCAAACCCCATTTTCCTCCATTAAAACACTTTCCCAAGCATTAACATGGCCAGATGAGGGATGGGAGGAGGGTGCAAATGAGAGAGGAACAAATGAAATTAAAAACTATGGAAGGCAGGAGGGAGAAGAAAAATTGCTCAGCAAGCGGCAGCGGACCTGCTTCAATGTCGCTATCTCTCCCCCTCATGTGTCTGTGAGGGTGAGAGAGGCAGGAGTTAGGGGCGTTGGGGACGGCCCCAAGAGGGTCGTGAAGTAATGTATGAGACAGCGAAAGGAGATGAGGTCTAATTAAAAAGGAACAAGGGAGATGATGAAGGAGAGAGCTAGTGTGATTCCTAGAGATTAGCAAAGCCTCTTTTGTAAGCACACTGTGTTTTAACTTTAACATAAAGTTATTTGTTGTCTGTATTCAGGAAGTTACTTTACCCAGGAGCATATGTTTTGAGCTGGGCAACCCATAGTCATCCTGCTTGAGTTCTGTTCTCGTGGCACTGACGGTAAGTATGGAGATTTTGTGTTCACATTTTGTATTTTTGCTGCAGTTTCAGTCTTTCTTCATTAAAATCCTGCCAGTCACAATGAAGGTCTGCTACTCAGAGGAGAGGTGAGGAGAGCATATAGCTAAATGCTCAGTTCAGTTTCCACATAGGAGAACAGCACAGTATACACACACTCAGTTGCTCAGTCTTTTTCCTTTCTTTTTCTCTTCAGTGGATGAAGAAAGGCACAATTCCCCAGTTGACATTAAAGATGAGCAATGGACCACCAAATCTTTTCTCCTCCATCCTCCTTATGCCCAGAGAAAGGCATGAAATGGAGAAATGAAGGGGAAATATATGACTGCACCCTAGTTAGTCCTTCCACAAAGACAAAGAGATGACTGTGACAAACTTGATCCATCACTATGACGGAGGTAAAGAGGGGACAGGTTCACAGTGTGGATAGTGTGGGTGGAGACAATGGGCAGCTCCAGCGGTTACATCCCATTACTCCACTCAACAAGGCCTATCAAGTTGTATTTTCCAGTTACAGCAACAGAACACAGACGACAGAAGCTTACGTTACTCTTCATTAGAAGCCAATATGGAAAATATGATAATGACTGTCACAGATAGAATCAAAGTGACCTTGAGTGATGGAAGGTGGCAGCGTCTCCTCTGCAGTCCAAATCCTGGCTTGTAACATTTTTCTACTCCTAAAAGGAGTGTGTAGTGGCAATTATCTTTCCAATTGCCAAATGTCTAATAATGCCTTTCTGCTGTAAGTTCCAATTATGTAAAACAACCCTGAAAAGGAACCTTAGCAGGGTGTGGAAAATGTTTTACCTTAATAGAAGAATTACGCTACTTGAAGCTGATATTGATAACTAACAAGAGACTAACAAACTAACTGCAAGGTGCAAGTGAGAGCAACAAAATTTCCTTATTATTCTATGCAAGTGGTAGTTGTTGAAAGCTAAGACTGTCTGAGAAAAGCTTCTTTGTCACCATGGCAGCTAGCTGCCTTCTCAGTATCAAATCGCAATTGGGAGATGCATAGAAAGTGGAAGTATACACTCATCGGCCACTTTATTAGGTACGCCTGTACAGGACTACATTATATTCAGAGGTGTTCCTAATATTCTGACCCTATAATGTGGCTGGGGAGGACAAAAATATAGAGACACCTCTGAATATAATGTAGTCCAGTAGAACACCACCTTTAACCATGACCTCACATGTAATTGAATATATATATTCATGACAATTTCATCAAAAACTGAAACATTTGGAGCTTCATAAACACAGATGTCAAGGTGGAAGTGTTGCATGGAATTGCATACAATTGTACAGGTGTACCTAATAAAGTGGTGGGTGAGTATACAGTACATGAAAAGAACTAGTTCATATGGTATGTTGTGCAACCATGTCACAAAGCAAAAGTATTTGTCCCCAACAGGCAAAGTCAAAGGTGAGGTAAAAAAAAAAAAAAACTGCCACCATAACAGTAGCGAAATGCAATTTGTTCACACAAAAAGTGACAGAATAGCATAAGAGCTTATTTCTCACCTCTACACACCTGACCAGTCACTGTGTGAAGCTGGCTGCAGTGGTGCATTGTCAGTTTCAAAAGGTCATAAAAATGGGCAGACAACACCCCCAATCTAACACTGAAAACATGGAGCCTAATGGTGTCCTAAGTGTGTCTGTACCTGTCTGGAGCAGGACTCGATATCCTTGGCTCTGCTCTGGTACCAGTCGGTCAGCAGTTCAATGGAGGGTACAGCTGTACAAAGCCTCAGTAGCTCTGGAGACTCCTCATATAGGAAACCATTGTCATCAAACACGTTCTGCTCCAGCACTGCTCTAAGGGAGATATGGTGAGGGCGCGGATGCTCAGAAGGTGTTGACGAGTGCATTTGTGTGCAAATGTTCTTATGAGAATATCAAAACCAAGAATGAACTGATCCAACCAAAAAGTATACTATGAGGAGCCAAAGCCTGACAAAGCTCATTCTACTGATGTCCGAAATCTATTAAGAACATATGCTTTATGTTTCTGGTTGCTTCATGTTCACACTGTGTGAAGTGTTCCTTCATTACAGTGACGCTGTAGATTATTTTGACGGAATCCCACACACCCATACAATCTTGCTGCTGTAACTGTGTACACCAACTAGGGCTGACTTCAGTGAGAACCAATTGGCTTGGTGCTGTTTCTTTTGGTCTTTTCATGGGATTTGTTAGGGAAACCTGGAATATCATAGCCTTAATCTTTTAAGAAGAGTACAGAGAGTTAAAGTAAGGAGGTAGAAGAGAGAAAAAACAGAAACATAAGGTAGAACAATAGGAAGAATGAGAGTGTAACATGGCTAAAAAAGACAAAACATGTCATATTCTCAGCCCGAACACTGCTGGCATCCCTGTAACTCCACACAGTATCAACACTTCACCCTGCGATTCCCAGCCAAGTATATTAGCCAACTGATATTATGACTACACCAAAGAACAATAAAAAAAAAAAGGGCTGCTGTATAAAATTGTAAATTAAGCTGGCCTCCCTGCAGAAGCAGGCAAATGGCATAAATTGGCAGTCCAACAAGATTTGGTATTAGTTTGTTATGGTTCTGTTTAACATTTGGATAATAGGATGTCATGTTTTGTTTTACATAATGATGCCAGCACAGGCATCTGCCCTGTATTGAGCATGAATTTTAACAATTCTACTCTGCAAAAAGCTTTGTTATCATGGGTATGGGGAGAGCTTATTATGATATATTCACCCCATATTGTTCAGTGGTTGGGTATTGTAATGCCTTGTGTACAGTGCCATAATGCTGTGTGTTTATGTCAGAGGTCATGGTGACTGTGTACCTGCACTCCTCTGCCTCACACCAGTCTGTCTCTCTGTGTCTCTGCTCATCCCATGGAATCAACACCAACTCACCTCGGTCATCTCGACTGGGAAATTAAAAAGGAGAGAGAGAGAATAAGGTTAAAAAAAAAGATGCAAAAGCATGGTGAGATATAGAAGAAGTAGGAGAGGAAAAAAGGGTCTGTTTTAAGGAAATGAGTGCAAACACAAATATCAGAACTAAACATACATATAAAAACAAAAACCAATGACTAGCCAGGAGTCAAAATATAAACCTCAGCACACCACACCTATCTACCCATCTATAACGGCACCTGGTAAATCAACAAAGACATTTAGTGTTTCTAACTAAACATGGCCATAAACTAAAGGAACAGGACTACAGGATAAGGGAAGGGACGGGTGGGTGGGGGAACAAAAGCACAACAATAAACAAGTCAAAGAACTTTTGCAAAGAGTCGGCATCGTGCCTCAGCTGTAAATAGTGAGGACTTTTATTTTTAAATGCTGCTTTGGTACTAAGCCGTATTTCTTCCTGCTTTCTTTGAGTGCGACAGCTCTGAGGAAGAAAAATCGGAAATATACAAGAAAAGAAACCAAAGTGAAGAACAACTCTCTAACCTTGCATGTCAGCGATGACAAGACTCAGGCACAAACACATGAATGTATGCTTACATACTGAGGCACTGGAGTGAACAGAAGCAGTTTTAGCTCTTATTCTAGGATTAATGCATTTGTTCTTGTTATCTATATGTCTGTAGATAGAAAAATATGTACTGTTGCTGTAAAACCCAAGGAGATGAGTGCAGGCTACAAATCATCAAAAGCTTTGGTGCAGTTAAAGGCCGAGTGCACACATGCTGCATCAGTTTTTTTTTTGTTTTTTTTTACACAGCCATAAATTCTATCCAATCACAAAATACATAAGATGTGTCCAAGTGGCTGCTGTGATTTATGTCAAGATACAAAAGCAAGGCTCTAGTGCAAGTTCATCCATTAAGATCAAAATTTTAACAGATGACAAGGACGGAGAAGTCTCAGTTCTTCCCCTATCAGGCCCACAGAAAATGAACCTCTCTGATTCACTTTTTTCTATTGTTTCCCAATTCCCTGGTCTTCCTTCCTCATTAAAGACATCCAGGTTAGAGGGTGGAGAATAAATACTGGGGTGAACACTCAGATATCGATGGGAGAAATGAATTATTCCACACCCGCTCCCCTAATCTACTTTGTGTCAGCCTGAGAGAAGCAGGGAAGCAGGGCGGTGGGAAAATGGAGATGCAAAGCAAACTTGGAGCTGGCATTTCAGTTTATTTTAATTTCCACTGGGCTGACCCTTTCAAGCTGCAGGCAAAGTTTTTAACAAAATACAGCTATTATGCATTCTTCCAGGCGTGTTGAGGTCCCCTCATAGACCTGATCAATATTACAACAGAGTATTTCTCCTTCTAATGAAGCAAAACTTTTTAGTATATAGAGAGTGAGTTCCTAACAGATGGCTCGAGCTGGTTCCGTCTGCTGCAGTGTAGTAGCGAGCAGCAGTTGGAGCAGTGGTTGGTGCTCGCGGGCTGGGAAAAATAGGAAACTGCCCCACAGCAGCGGGGCCATGATGGATGCTTACTGCAGAGCCACAGGCACCTGACCTCCATACAAACTCAGACATGGCTAATAAAAAGGAGCAGTGGTGGAATGTGTGCATGTGTGTATGTACTGTAGTTGGAAACCATAAAAACAAATATTTCGAGTTTTTTTAGCTCATGACTCCAGGGGATTTTGGCTTTATACACATGCTTATTTGCGCAAATGTTATTGTGGTATTTGATTACATTAAAGAGCAGCCGAGAAAACGAAGGCACAGTGCGTGTAGGG